TCACTCCAGTCAATGTCAATGTCGGTGTGTTTTGCCTAAGGAAAGAGTGGACTCTGACAAGTACCTGGTTTTTCATCTGAACCACAAACTGGACTGGACTCATAACAGAGTCCAAGAGGGCGTCCTCTTCAAGAAGAACCAGAGCCAACTCTGCTGAGGAGGCTCAGGTCTTTTGGAGTGCAGGGGCCACTCCTTAAGACCTTCTATTGCCGTTTTTCCACAGTCCTAGTACGGTACGTTTTGACTCTACACGGCGCGCTATGGCCCAGTTCGCGTGCTTTTCCATCCAAAATAGTACCCCCAGTATGTCCACAGCGTTGTCTGTCCACGTCATTTACGTGTGACGCGTAACTAATACTGGTGCGTGCATGGATCTATTATAATATCAGAGTAAGTGTTTAATAGAAAACTCAGCACAGCACGAGTAGTTTTTGAAAATGCTTATGTCTTAAAAAAACGACTCGGAAACTGTGAAGTCAATTGTAACCCAGGGTTAAAATCCAGTCCAGGTTTTCCCCTACACTCCTGACTCATTCCTGGTTTTCTCTGCAGGCTGCTTGACATGCTCCTGTCCACACACCTGAAGTGAGTGAGCGCTAATTAGACAGAGGTAAAAGCTGCCCTGGCTCCTCTCTGTTCACTGTGGTAGGAGAGAAGCCAGGAGACAGCAGCTGCGGGTCAGAAACCTAACTCTTGAATAATACAATTCAAACTTCACTCATACACTCATCTTTCAATTGTTAATTTCCAGAGTCCATAGTGTCCATTGCTTGTGGATTGGTTACTGTTCATGGGCAGGATTTGAACTGAACTGGTGAGTTGAGTTGTGTTGTCATGTACATTTAGTTAGCTTAGCTACATGCTAACTAGCCGACATGTTAAACTGTTTTTATCAAAGTTGTTATCTGTACGATCATGTGTTTTGGTTTATGTAATTAGCCAATGCTAATTAGCATTTAGCTAACACACGAGTTATTTTTTGTTGGGAACCATGCTCTCCGTGTTTCGAGCATTTCCGGGATATTTTATTAGCATAGTTTATGCTAGTTTTTTGTATTTGGTACCATGTTATTTTTTTGTATGTACAACTTAAGTGGTCTTGTTTGTACAGGCCAGGTGACCCAACTCCGGGTCAGGTTATGGCGAGCTAGAGAGAAGTGCCTGGAACAGTCCATCATATCATTGGTCAACACTACTGGTCTGGTAGGAGGCTCAGCCTGTCTCCTTCTCCCACCCGTCATGGGTTTTACACCACTCCATATTCAAATTCTGCAATACAACAGCGCTTGGACATACGTCATTTTCTGCCAATAACAATCACTGGACTTTCCGTGGTGCGCCACCGTGTGGGCAGTACCGTACCGCTCAAAAACCCTGGAGTACGGGTTGGATAAAGACTATAGTTCTTTTGATTAATTGGACTTTCCGTTGTTACCGGTATTATTATTTTCCTGCACTGTAAATATTTGGTTATTGTTCACTTTTATATATTTTGTAAAATACTTACTTTAAACTTACCTTTTGATTCCTGGTTGGTTTTTCACTGTTCCTATCCTCCAGTAGCATACCTACTCTTCTGATCCCACTAGTCCATACTTAAAAGTTAACTCCATTATTGTATTAAACATTAATAACCAGTTGTTACACAATGGTGCTGACTGCTCTGTACAATCTGAATGGGACCTGTAGCAACAGCAGCCTGTGTAGCAGAGGAGGAGGGCTGCATGTCCGAGGATACTGCTAGGCTAAAGCTAATGCTAGCGCTAGCCCGAGACTCAGCTCACTCACTAACCCTGGATTCCAAAGCTACTACAATACTACACTTAACAAATCTATCACAACCCTCAGAGAAGGATCCAGGGTTTAAACTCGTCATATGGCAACTCGAGCAGTAAAGGACCGAGGGAGAGACAGCGGCAGCCATAGGGGTAGCGAGTTAGCGGCTAGGCTAGGCTAGGCTAGTCCGGACTCGGGTCTGGACTACAGCAGACTCCGAGACCAGACAAACAATTGATACCCAAACCTCAGCTACAATAATAATAAATGAATGAAACACTGTCTTGGGATACAATCACAGATTTATTGAAAACAAAAGTAAAGTGCAAAACCAACAGTTTACAAAGTCAAAAGTACGTATGTCTAAGACCAGGTCCAGACCAGGTCCAGACCAGGTCCAGACCAGGTCCAGACCAGGTCCAGACCAGGTCCAGACCAGGTCCAGACCAGGTCCAGACCAGGTCCAGATGAGAATACTCCGGTCACTCATTACTCGTTGGTAATTTCAGAATCAGAATCAGAATCATTTTTATTGCCACGTAAGTAACAGGAGGTCACAGACTTGGAAATGGCTTTGGCTCAGTGCAACAGTCAGAAAGAGATAATAAAAATAAGAATACAAATAAAAAACACTTCTAAAGAATACATTTAAATTTAAAATAGAGTTAGTTACTATTTACAATATACAAGTGCACATGGTGCACACAATGTAAGGTGAAAGCAGTACAGTGAAGTAAAGTGGCGTATGATGGGCAGTAAAGTGACTTCATAAAGGGCGGGGGACAGGTTAAGAAGTGTTCAAGAGTCCAACAGCAGAGGGGAAGAAACTGTTCTTGTGGCGGGAGGTTCTAGTCCTGATGGACCGCAGTCTCCTGCCTGAGGGGAGTGGTTGGAATAGTCCATGTGCAGGGTGAGAGGGGTCCACACTTCCAATTTCCACACTTATGGGAAGGGATTCTCATACAAATATACACACGACAACTTAAATACAAGCACAAAACAGAATGACAACACGTGAATACTGCAGATAATACGAGATAAAGCACAGTCGCACAGGGAGGACGTTAGCTTAGCTGCTATCGATAGCTAAATGAAGCTAATTGTAGCTAGCTCACTGTGTACAACAGACAATCGAACATTTACACAGTAAATACATTTCAGTGAGAGCTTTAACAGAATTCGTAGCTAACCAGTTACAGTATTTCCAGGATTACCACAGACTAGTCACAAATCCAGAGCTGGGTGATCTCCCTGAAAACTGTGTTGAGCCTCGAGCTGCCTTTGAATTCGTTGGCCTGAAGAGAGGAGCGTGTGGACCTCGTCCACCGACCAGGACTTTTGGGGCTTTCTGTGCAATTCCATTTCTCTGGAGTGAGGAGGACGTAATGTAGCCGAAACGGAGCAGAGCAGCCGGTTTTAAAGATGGCGGTTGAGTTGTTTTTCCCAAAGGGTCAGATGTTGCTTCCAGTGACGACACTTGTTGACCAATCAGTGTAAGGCAGTGGGCCGACCATAGACTGTATATATTAATGGACAGAGTCACGCCTATCTCCGCCGTTCTAACTAATGGGCCAAAAAAATGTGCTCTACTGGAGCAATCCAAAATGGCCACGAGTGGTCCCGCCCACAAGAAAATTGTGAAAAAACGCATCTGCGCATGCGTCAGCCGGCGCAACTCCATTCATTTGAACGGGAGACTTAAAAAATTCACAGCAAGTAAACTAGAGTGGAGCAAAAAAATCCACCCCCCTCAGCATTGACACACATGTGGAACGGAGCTTTGGGCCAAGAGCCAACTTTTGGTCCATCCTGTAAAGACGTTTTTTGAGAGGTCTGCCAATGCTATATGTTAGCATTGGCTAATTCTACTTCTGGGTCCACCCCCGCCCATTGCAAGCATGTCAGCGCACGTCATTTTGGCCACTTTTGAGCTGGGACCCGCCCCCACTGGGGCCGACGTGACGTCATGGCACGGGTACTATGGGGGTGGAACCACGGCTGAGGTAGTACGGAAAAGTACTCCAATCTCCCATACCATCCACTAGTGGAAATGCAAAATAACTGTGCTGAAGCGTACTGTACTGTACTGATACTGTGGAAAAGCGGCATAAGACTCATGTAATCTGTACTCTAATGTACAGATGTAAACATACTACTGCTAATGTACAGATGCAAACTATACATTGCTTGCACGAGAATACACAATACTTTATACTTGCTTCTTATTTTGCCAAATTTAGAGATTTTATACTTTATTTTGTTATAGATATTTTAAACTTGTATCTTTGATGCTAGAGTTAGAGATAATACTTAATATTTTAAGTATTTTAATTAGTATAGCTAATGTTGGCCTGAAGAGAGGAGCATTTATCTTGTGCTGTGTGCTCCTCATTCCTACTGTTCTGTGACTTGTGATGCAACACTGAAATTTACGAATAAATTAAAATAATTTCCCACGCTCTACTCAACAAGTTTTGAACTTTCAAGGTTAATGAATAAACACAATTCCACATCTAATAATAATATTTTCTCATAAAAGGCATCTGAAAGTGGTGAAGGTATTTAAAGACAATATGATGCTGGTCAACAGAAAAGACCTATTGCAGGTTTGTGAATCTAATCACTATCAAATCAGTATCAAAACATCCATACATTTTCTTCCCCTTAATCCATTTCTGGGTCGGGGGGTGGCAGTCAGTGCTGCACCCAGTACACAGAGCGACAGCCCCTCACTGATTCTCCTTGATCTTTCAGCAGGGGCTTCAGGCAAAGTGGGGTTAAGTGTCTTGCCCAAGGACGCAACAACAGCGGACATCAGTTGGGGGTTGTGAAGTAGATCATTTGGTGGGCTTGAACCCACATACTTCAGGCTCAAAGGCCAATGCTCTTCCATCTGAGCCACTGTCGCCCCAGTATCAAAAAAATTTGACTATTTTTTGTTATTATTATTATTATTTGTTTTCAAAATGGGTTCTTTCCCTCAGAGTTCTATGGACACCTGTCCTCCAAATTAAATAAAATGATATCAACCATTCTAGAATAATCTTGGATTTACTCACCATGGAGACTGGTGTATGGTTCTAGAACAGTATGACACGTTTATCAGATTGTCTCACAAAGTTGCCTAGACCAGAGGACTTGCATCCAAAGTATTTGATCAAGGTCATACGTAACACGGGCTCTTAAAAGGACTTTAAATGGACTGTAAATTGGAGTCAATTACCATGGACCATCCACTACTGGAGAAACTGCCGCCCCAGCTGGGAAACTATGTGCTGCAGGAGATCCTTGGATATGGAACCTTTGGAATTGTTGTTCGATGCTTGAACACCAGGACTGGAGAAATTGTGGCACTCAAAATATTTGAAAACAACAGTGAGGATATGGAGAGAGAACTTGGTATCCTCCAGCATCTGAGCAACAGCATAGATCCAGACAAAGTGAACATCATCAAATGCTTTGAGCATTTCCGACATGAGGATTATGAGTGCATTGCCTATGAAGTTCTGGACCGCAGTTTCTATGACTTCATCAGGGAGCGTCAAAGGCCTTTTGCACTGAGCGAGTTGAGACCCATAACTCAACAACTCCTTGTGGCCTTTGAGGCGCTGACGGAGGCACACGTGGTTCATGCTGACATGAAACTAGACAATATAATGTTAGTTAACCACAAAGATCAGCCTTATAAAGTGAAGCTGATTGACTTTGGCTGCGGAGGCTTCTTCTCCGAGCTGGAACAGGGCATACGCATTATGACAGATGGGTATCGTGCTCCGGAGGTGACCCTAGGTGCTCCACTGTCTGGGGCATTGGATATGTGGACCCTGGGCTGCTGCTTAGTAGAGGGCTTCTTGCACTGCCAACCTTTCTCCAACATGTCTGACTATGACAACCTAAGGACCATCATTCGCTTGGTAGAACAACCCAGCAATGAGATGCTCAACAGAAGCTTGTATGCTGAAAAGTGCTTTCTTGAAAGTAGATCCCAGTGGTCTTTGAAGACACCCTTTGAGTACCAGGCCTCAAACTGGAAAAAGCCTGATATTGGTGTGAGTCCTTTGGATGACGCTCCAAATCTTGAGGCCGCGATTATGTACGGCCATGAAAATATGGACGAGGATGTGCAGTCGGACCTGACGGCCTTTATGGATTTACTTAAAAATCTGCTGCAGACGGATCCAGAGAAGAGGATAACTCCCAGTGAAGCACTGAGGCATCCGTTCATTACTATGGAACATTTAGTGAATGTTGATACTGAATATGTCACTATTGCCCGTGAATTGATGTCGGTGACTCTCAACACCTCAGCTTCTGCTCTGACAGAAAACAAAGAAAATGTAAATGCAGATCAGCCTCCACAGCTCTCTGCTGCTGTAGCGGAGAGATCTGGCCCATCTTTTGGAAATCACATCGAGATATCTCCTGAAGAGAAGGTGAACGAGGCTCCCCCGGAGCTAAAGGACTGCATTGGTATTGAAGAAAAAGTTATTCTCCCAAAAGACGTGGTTATCTGCCCTGAACACGATGAGGAGCAGCTCAACTCATGTTCCATTGAGGTCGACCAAAAAACCCAGATTGACAAAGAGCCAGAACATGTTCTCGAACATGTCGAGATTGAAATAGCAGACTATTCTGAAGATGACACTAATGAGCCATCGAACAGCACCTCCTGTTGGTCAGCTGTGAGAACTCTCTGCTTTGGAGGTGCTCTTGTACTACAGGCTGCCACTTGTTTTGCGCTGACACACTCTCCCTTGATTACTGGCGTTGTGGTACTACCCATGATGATTTATGGAGGAATAGAATATCTCACATCTAAAAGGACTGCAACAGAAACCTCCACCTCAAGCACCAGCAAATAACTCTCAATCTAAAACATCGTTGACAGAACGCCCATGAGCTTTCAGGGCACATTTAACTTGGTTAAAGTCTGGATGCTTCACACATTAGTTTAAAAAGGATGAAGCTGATTTAAGTGTTTCAGAAGAATCCTCCTGAAACGTGTGATGCGACGGATGACACTGTGCCTCAACCCTTTCTTTCTTTATTGAGGATTTATTTATTGTTTTTTTGGCCTAAGACTTTTCTTTGAGTAAGTTTTACTTTATTTGAGGATGTCAAGGCTACTTTTGGGTTTATCTTTGTTTGAACGGTTTTATTTGTTTGAAGTTTACTTTTAGAGTTTATCTTTGTTTGAATTTTATATTTTGACTTCATCTTTGTTTGAATTTTATATTTTGACTTAATCTTTGTTTGAATTTTATCTTTTGACTTTATCTTTGTATGAATTTTATATTTTGACTATCTTTGTATGAATTTTATATTTTGACTTTATCTTTGTTTTAATTTTATATTTTCAATTCATCAGTATATTTTATATTTATTTTTATATTTAAAAAATAAATAAAATAAAAACATTTAAAAAAGCAACAATATTCAGATGTTTTATTCCATCCATCAGGTCCTCTGCCAATGTCGCCTAAGCTTTGTATTTTCTGATGAGCCTGTCAGATTTGATCCCTATCAAAGGGAGGATGTAAATGCAAAATGCTGTGACTTTTCTATCTGTAAAGAAAAAAATAAATTTGTCATTTTATTGAAACAACATATCAAATTTTTACTCACTCAACAATGCCTTCATTTGTCATTTTCTTTCACTCCATACGCAGTGGTGATAAACGTCCACTGTAGCCACGGCTGCCCTGGGGTGCACTGACAGAAGCAAGGAAGCCAGATAGTGCCATCGATGCATTCTCACACTACACCAAGCCCCGGCGATCCAAGATGGCGCCCTATTCAAATGAATGGTTGTGCTCAGTGGCGCTTTGTGACGGCATGGGGGCTGAAAGATTAACGGAAGTCGCCTGGAAGTTGCAAAGATCTATGGGAAACTCGCCTGTATTTGGGCATCGTCTGGTCCTCCCGGTTCTGCGCAGTGGATGATCTCCCATAATGCGTTGCGCCAAACACGCGTGTGTGGGTCTCACACCGGGTCTCACGCACGTGCACAGAGGGGCTCGGCTGCGCTCTGACCAATCAGAGCAGTTCATCAGAGCGGGAGTTAGAGCGAGAGCCAGACGAGTAGAGTTTGTGGCACTAAAGTGTGGATTTAAACAAAACCGAAGGATTTAAAGGTGGATTGCGTAAGTGGCAGAGTTTTTGCATTAGTTTGCCCCCTTTTGGCGTTTTATGTAACTGCATCCAATGCCGTGCACGCGCCCTGTACACTTTACGCTCTCGACGTGAAGACGCATCTGGTTCTCAAATTCTCACTTCTCACAACATTTCTAGTTACATCATGTTTTCTCAGGTAAGAAAACGAATTATTTGGCATTAAATTAGTTTGACTAATTGTATTAGTCCTTTTTGACAGACGAAATTTGGCTAGCTAGTTGGACAATGAAAGTTTGATTATTTGTGTGTAAGACAATGATACATTACTGCCTTTTTCAAGAACTATCTGTAATAAGTGATGAAAGTAATTAGCCACTATTGACAGTGAGCTAGATTTGTCCAAGCCCAGTAGCTAGCTAGTTAGATTGTCCCTGTGCCACACTTGATCTTAGCCAAAAGGCCGAGAAGCTTCTGTGCCTTCTGCCCACTCTGTAACCATGAGTCTTTTACAATACATCTGGGTACTTCTTTAGCCTGGCTCCAGCCGACCTTTAGCCCCGCCTCCATGGAGTTTCTGCGGGCAGGTCGGTCTGGCATTCCTCAATGGAAAAAGTATTATGCCCGGTACGATACATACCGGGCCAGTCAGAGTGACAGGGCGGGCTTCATGTGATGGTTGACAGGTGAGCAACAGTAACGTCAGCATCTACGTCATCAAAGAGCGCCAGGGCAGAATACGTTCAAAACAAACATGCATTGCGCTAGGGAGGTGAGATGTGTGGATTCTGCTATTGATTCTGTTTTACAAGACATGAACAGAGAATTCATCTTGAAATATGAACAGAGAAACGCTATCAAGGCATTTGTGAGTGGAAAAGATGTCCTAGCCGTGCTCCCGACGGGATTTGGTAAAAGTTTGCACTCATTTTACAGGCAGCATGCGAGAAGGTAAACAATAATAACGTCGCATAAATACGTCACACCTCGCTCTCATTGGTTGTTGGACTATCCAATAGTACGAAGGGGGATTGTGTTTCCTGTTTCTGTTCGAACACGCCCCCCATAATACTTTTTCCATTGAGGAATGCCAGACCGACCTGCCCGCAGAAACTCCATGGAGGCGGGGCTAAAGGTCGGCTGGAGCCAGGCTAGTACTTCTTACCTGTAACTGCCATTTATGTATACCCACACTTCAGTAGTATTCCTGTATAAGTAAAACAAAGTGTATATACAACTCAATGGATTTAGATATTATATCGATGAAGAGTTATTGGTAACTCAATAACTACATGCCTACAGTATGTGTATTTACTTTAATGTAAATACACATACTGTAGGCATGTAGTTATTGAGTTACCAATAATTCTTCATCAATATTTCACCATCGATAATAATAATAATAGATAGTAATCTAAGAGCCTAATAACATTATACTCCATTTAGGGCTCCAGCAATGACGAGTTTGTTCCTATGGAGACAACCAGTGACTCTGGAAGTCAACCTCGAGGACAAGGACGGGGTAGAGGAAGAGGGAGGAAGACTGCACAGAAGACTAAACAGACAGGAAAGGGAAGAGGAAAGGGGAGGAAGACAAGTGCTAAAAAGAAGGAAGATACTCCAGCAGAGGGTGCAAGAAAAAGAAAATCAAAAGCCCCATTTACACAAGATCGATTTCGAATAACTTTATTTCAAAAAGTAAAAATTCTTGTAAATATTTTTCTGTGTTATATAAAAAATAAAAAATAAAATTATGGTGATGTTGTATTTCTTCAACGTTAGGGAACAGATGTCGTCTCCTGGGACATAGAAAAGACACATTTTACAAAATTGTAACATTCCAAAGTAAAACTTGAAGATACACAAAAATCCAATCAATATTATTCAGTATGGAAAATAGGGCAGAGAGAAGAAGCTAAATCTTAGAATCATACAACACTGGAATGTCTCTTCAAGGGGTCAGTTGAGCCCTATACATTAGTTATTCTTTATAACAAGCTGGTTAGTTACACAAACATACCTGTCCTCTCTGGACCTGTGTATGCATCAATTCTGAAGTAGGAGGTGGGTTAACACCAGACACTGGTCCAAGTGCTTGTGGGTCCTCCGGTATGATCCTCCGTCTGGTTGGGAGGCCACCAGCAGACTGAAGTCGTCTGCCAATGATTTGTGTCTGAAGGTCAGGAATGTAGTTGTAATCCTTTGCTTCTTTGACAGTGTGTACCCGATACCGTTTCAATTTTTTGCTGTACAGTCTCCAAGGCTACAAGATAAGTAATTTCAAGTTAGAAGACAACTATATTCATGACTTGTCAATAGGAAGTAGTGAATGATACTACTGAATGATAATGATACGAAACTTGGCCTTTGCTGTTCACATGTGCCGGACGGTTGTGGTGGTGATTATAGTCCAAAGCTGCAAGAAATGTTCTTGCTTCATAAACAAAAAATGAAAATCATTCCAAAACCAGAATATGGTTTTGGAATGATTCCAGCTGTGAGGTGGTCCTGCAGGGAAACTAAGTAGGAAATAGAAGAAACACAAATCATTCCAAAAAATAAAAGGTTATCTCTTACCGAAATGTGAGGAACTTCTCCACATCCTTCAGCCATCTGCGGTTCAGCACGATCTGTGACAGTGCCACATGTGCTTTAGAGCCAGGCGATACAGGCTCTTTAGTGCCATCATCTCCCAAAGGACCATGAAGGCCACTCATGCACGCCACTAACATGGTGCAGTACACCTTCGCCAAATGTCCTATTCAGCAAACATAAGAAAATGAAAAGGTATAGTGAGAATGAGAATATAAATTCTAGTTCTACTTTACTTACCATGAACTCGTCTCGGCTGCTTGCATGCTGACAGGCATACCAAAAATGGTTAACAATGTCCTTGATCCACACTAGGATTTGTTTTTGACCTGCTAGGACACCCGCATATCAAAGTTATTGGTTTTGGTTAACTCTATAAAAAAATAATTGAATGAGAAACGATATGAACTATCACTTACAGCATGAAGCCTCTTAGTTAAGATTTTTTGCAGCATGCCAGACATCCAGGGAATGGGTAACTCCATGATCCATATATCTTCCCCGCTCTGGATCTATTTTAAAGCTCAAAAATGCAGTAAGCACAAAATATAGCACATCAAATAATACAAACAAAAATACTTACGCATGAGGGC